ACCTTAGTGTTTGCCGCTGAGTGACACGAGGAATACGAAGGTGGTTGTCCGCCAATCGGTTGTGTAGTTTTTGGTGCGCACGTGTATGCGTCTGCCATACGCAACCAATCACAGGACAGACGGACCGCACTTACGGAGGTAAACGAAGATTTTTCTCCGTCAATACGAAGCGCAGCCTTCGTAATGACGGAGGGAATACGAAGCGTTTCCTTAGTCAATACGAAGGTTTCTCTTAGCAAATACGAAGGCGTTTCCCCGTATTGACGGAGCAATACGAAGGTTTATCTCAGTAAATACGAAGGCTGCTCTTCGTAAATACGAAGCAATACGGAGGTTTTCCTTAGTATATACGAAGGTTTTTCTCAGTAAATACGAAGGCTGCTCTTCGTAAATACGAAGCAATACGGAGGTTTTCCTTAGTATATACGAAGGCTGCGCTCCGTAATTACGAAGCAAGACGGTGAATTCTCTTAGCACGTACGAACGTCGGTTACCTTACTGAAGAAGCTATACTAAGGTTTCTCTCAATATATACGAAGGTCGCTCTTCGTACTTATAAATCCATACTAAGATTTTCGACGCCATGCTACGATTCTTCTAAGTAATTTGCAAGGATGCTCATGCTAATAACGAAGCGAAAGTAAGAGATCACTTAGTTAATGGGCTACCTTACCAAAGGGTAACGTTCACGTGAGGGACGCGATTCAAGGCTTTCGGGAAGCCTACAGGAAGAGGTTTCTCCTTATGGCGTAAGCCAAATGCTCCTTACTAATCGCTATGAAGCTATTAGTATATCACGGTTTCCTTACATAAGGTACCGGAAACGGTCGTACTTTTGCCGTACACGGCCCAGTGAACGTTTTCAAAAATGTGGACGCACAATACATGAAAGCAATAGGTAAGCAGACTGCTGCGAGGAGTACATTGTCCACTTACCCATAGGGTATTTGCAGCCTGATTTCCCTTCTCCCCGTCCGACTAGGTAACGAAATGACCAGGGAGTAAATACCGCATTTGTGAGTCAGTCAATCCCACACCATTGCAAAAGCTGGCTGACATCTTAATGCAAATGTGAACGAGCGTACGTTATCAGCTACGGCGAAATATGAAACCGCGCAACGTAGTTGTCCCTGTCTTTTGATAAAAGAAAGACCATGGCCTGCAGTGCCTTCCTTCCAGTCACGCAGTAGTCGAAATGCGGTAGTCACAATACGCGCCGAGACGGTGACATCGTATCACATATGCGGAAATACCAGGGAGCGCTTGAAGCAAACCAGAAAATGGTTACAAATGTATATTAAAGTGCATGTAAACATTTACAAGTTTGTCCGTGTTTCCTGATTGCTCTGATTGTCTAAATCTATCAAATCAAAAGGCTGTAATTGAAGCCGTTATGTACGGCATTAAAGGTACACAATACCTGCGATTCCTGACTGCTTGATGCGGCAGATACGCCGGTGCAGATTGCTCCGGGAAATCTGTAACCATTTGCAAACGCCGTTCGCTACGGCGTTGGCCGTGACCCCAAATCGGTGAACGATAACTTCTGTGAAGGAAGATAAAGTTGGAAAGGTTATCTGAGTTACCTTGAAGCGCACTGAATGTGTGCGTTTTCTTGAACGGTATTGCGTTGTTTGCACCCGCGAAGTTAAGCTGCCTCAAGACCTCTCTGTTCAGAACCCTATCCAACATGTATCGAATGGCCTCCGATACCGTGCCGGCGGGTGTTGAGTTCATGCGAGTAGTCTAAGTCATGAATTGAAAATCCTGCAAGGTGACTTACCAGTTCTCGACGGAGGTCTGGGTCCACTAATTTACTCTCTAACTCCAAGAATTCCTCAATAGTTGAGGTAGGTAGAGATAAATCATTACGTTGCATTGGTTTTGCAGTCCACATGGCCTGGCTCATGGCCGCGTGGCTCTCCTTCAATACGTGAAGGGTCTCCTCCACGCGTCTAAGTGAATCTGCTAATTCGTCGCAAGTAAGAAGCTCAAACATACCGACCACAGCGTGCAAAGTGTGCATGACCCTTTTGTCAGATTCATGACACCTGCCTGCCAGGGCGTGTATCTAAAGTGCAAAACCGGAAGACTTACAGCATTTCATACCCTCCGTTTGAACGGCTACTTCATTACATCCACCTGTTGCGGAAAACGGAATTACGGAAAAGGGAACTTACGCATGTGAGTATCCTCCTGGAAGTCATCAGCAATCTGAGGAGGCATGGTATGCCGCGCCACGTCCTCCAACGAGAATTCAGGAAATCTCCCATAGGTTGCAGATGCAGGAGCGTTGCACCGTTTTTTTCTGGTCGGTACATTCTCATCCCCGTAATCACGAAGTTTCGCCGGCAGGCGTCTGCAATGCATTGCGTTATCAAATGTGTAGCGCATTACATAACTCGCTTCGGTGATGTTTGCATGGGGATGGTGCAATCGGTGTCCGTCCCATGACGTTGATCCCCGACGGTACTTTCCAGTCGGCGTGCGTCCTCGAAATGCACTGCAAATGATTAAATGAATGTCCTTACCTGTACGATGAAGTACCGTCACTGGAAACATTTTGCAATCAGCTATGGGGTATCTGTGCTCCCGCACCGCCTGGTGGTAATCGAACAGTGGAAGGTTGGGCAAAAGAGCATGCTGCCCGTCCTCCAACAGCCATCTGCTGCTTAATGTGTTCACTTGGGACACACCGTCGTGCGTGTAAGTGACAACGCAGTAATCCCACAGCGACATATCTGTAGAAGCCATTACATACGTGATTACCGTAAGCATGCAACTGCTGGACGCCCCCGTAAAGAACGGGAAAACAGACAACACATACAACCGCAGACTACAGATGGAACACTCGGAAGTAAGCTATGGAAGGAATATATTTTAATGGGTGTCATCCGTAATGGTTCCAGATACACAACATTAAATCACATCGTGGCCTGTTCGCCTGTTCGAAGTAACGTTCTCAATTCCGTTACAAGTGGAGCCAAAAAGTGGTGTACATTCCACGGTTTTCGTGGACCCGAGTACACACCAACCAAAAATGGATGCGATATCAAGGGCGCCACAGACCTACACAAAATGGGCCAAACTTGCACACCGGATGAATTAAATGGTGAGAACCCATCCACATGCAACTGCAGGTGAATGCTCTGGTAGGTGGGCACACTTTCGCAACGGTAAGCCATCTTCAGACCGTCAATTATCCCCATGTGACCATACGTACCAGGATGTACCTCCATCTCGTTAGTGGTTCTTGGAGTTCTCATCAACGTCCGGTAATCCTTCGGTAGAGACGGTATGAACTTACGCAACCCTTCCAGAAGCTTGTTAACAGCCCAAGCCGAGGTGTTGGTATTAAGCACCCATGATGCGAGGAAACTACGTGCCTCATCACACGGCGTTGGTGACGTAGTCAAATCTATAGCAGTGCAATCATGCTCCCCTAGTTCGCAGCTCATGCTTTGCACGTCATCACTCTCGGTTTCCGTCCTTGGTGACTGAACGGAAAGTACGTCGGGGGATTCGCGTATACAGCGGTTGTGGTCCGCATCTGAAAGGTTACGCGGTGGCGAGACGCAGAAGTCTACAAACACACAAAAAGGTTGTCCGTGAACCTTACCTCCCATAATTGCATCCACGTTACAAGTGGGGCTATGGTTGCGCTCACTGAATGCCTCACGCTCTGCGAGTCTACGCAAAAGAAGCAATCGCATTCTCAATGTGCGTGCAGAAGGTAACGCAAACGAACAACGACGTCTTGTTAAACGACTACGCATCTCTAGAACATGAAATATTAAATGAACAAACGCTTACGTAACGCTGCTTAAACAAAAAAGGTGTCTGAAGTGAATAACGGACGTACCGACAAGGAGACCAATGGGAAACCGTAGAGCAATCAAATGACCGCGCACTTCTATTTCCGGTACAAAAAGGTACGCAAACAAACACTGACGTTCACCTTAAGGAACACAAATCCACATTATACCTCACTTTATAACCCTTTGACGTTATTATACGTAACATTAATTGTTAAACAAAAAAATTTCTTTGCATTATTTTTGGTCCAATCATACATCTACATAGAAAGTCCACGGACTGCCTTCCTATTGGTTCGTAAATGACGAAGCAAAACGAAGACAAACCTTCGTAAACGTCCGTCATTGACGGAGGTAAACGAAGGAAAATCTCCGTAAACGTCCGTCAGTGACGGAGCAAAACGAAGCAAACTCTTCGTAACCGTTCGTCATTGACGAGGGTAAACGAAGATTAACCTTCGTTTTGCTTCGTCACTGACGAACGTTTACGAAGAAAAATCTTCGTAAAGGTTCGTCAGCGCCTCGCCATTGACGAAGCAAAACGAAGATTTTGCTCAGTATGACGGAGATTTTTCTTCGTCATGTGCTACCAGGGTTGGAAGTCCGATAAAAACATTGGATTTTCGCAACGAATACCGTAAAAGCTTTTCTTTTTGACAAGCTTGTTGGCCCGGGCGTCCATTAGCAGTCCGTAGGTTATCTATTACGCGTCTTTCAGGCGTCTTGTCGAGATGTTATAATAATAATAATAGGTATATTTCTCAGAAAGTTGAGACACGTTCCAGAGTCCCTGGACCGATCAGTATGTACAAGTTTTCTCTGAAGCTGAAATTGTTTATCGGATGCGAGGAGATTCGAATTGAGTGGGATTGGATTCAAGTTGTAATTTATTCTTATGCAGCTCCAACTTTCTTCGGTAGCAAGTATCTCATCGTACCGTTGAACGAGTCGTGGTCCGGATCAACGTAAATAGAAGGGAAATAGCAAGTATTAGTAAGTATTAGCGCGATGGAGGTTGAAAACTTCCTAGGGAATTATGTACATGTGTGGAATCGAGAATAATATAGTGTGGGAGGGTCTCGCAACCAAATTTCTGGACACAGCATAAGGAACAGCAGTATGGGTCTGGCTAACAGGGAAAAATAAGTCCACATTACTGCACAGTATAAAAGGGAAATATTTAAGCAACTACCTTATTATTGTATTGTAGATGTTGTTTACAATTAGGAGGCGGAATACGGATTTCGGATTACTTAAGATGTGTGGGTTGTGGGCTGTGAACAAGAATGCCGAACCTTTAGTATTTTGGCTAACTGCGCTAGGAGTTTGATTATGCAGGGAATTGTTAGACGCAAAACCGAACACAGACGAGATGTGCAGCAAAACGATTTCGAAATGAATTCAAACTAGTACCCAGTCAATCAGCTGTGCACCCTGTGTTGCTAAAGCGTCAATATTCAACTTGCGTTCCTTTGTATCTACGGATCGATGGTGAAACATCTAAGTGTGTAATGCATGCAGCTATATTTGCCTTAAACATGTGTAACACTAATGCAATATTGTTAAATAAATTAGAAAATATTCACTACAAGTTATAAAATATAAGTGTAATTTTTCTGAGCCCATTTAGTAAAAATACTTGCCATGTACTGATACTCTCGTCTTGAACTACTTAATTAGTCTTCTATTGTGCCGATATTTCTAGCCTCGGAACTTTAATGTGAGAGGCATTACTAATATAATGAAAGACGTAACACTAGGGGTTTGTGGGTTTCGTAACAGTTGAGAAATCACAGCAGGCATATTTAAGCGGCTTCTTTAACGGTAAATATTTTGTGAAATCATAAGATACTGATGCAGAATTATGGTACCTTTGAATTATCATTTTATCCATACCTATGTACAGCGAGCCCTTCCATTAAAGCGTGCTTTTGGCCAGTGGCCGAAATACAAAAGAAGTTGAAGATAAATGTTTTTATATGTCCATGGATGTTGTTAACTATTGTTCTAAATCATTATCGGCGCTGTTTAGTGTGTAAAATCTTTCTTTTTAACCGTACTTTCTGTCAGCGCAAGTGATATTTAGAGCATCGTGGGTGACGAAAGCTTCGTCACTGTGGTAGTACCTACTTACAATTCTGTAATCGATTACCGCGTAAATTTGATGGAATATGCATCCCTTCCGCGACAGCAGCGAAATCTTGTGCCGTCGTGTGAGTGTTGTAACGCCCTAAATGACAAGACTTTTGGCCCTCAGTAGTCTAAATGTGCACCCGAAATATTTCCCAAAACACCCTAAAATTCAGAAGCAAAAGTTTCATGAGTAAAATATCGTAAACATGAAACGTAAAACTACCTACTAATTGTAATTACGCAATGCAGTAGCCGTAACGCAACACCCTAAATGGTTGTGAAGGACCAAACCTCATCCAAACGAAACTAAATTAGGATGCCTTTTAGTCAAGTAGTATGCTTTATCTGATGCTACCTCACCATATATCATGAGTGCGCTGCTGTTGGAGCCTTTATACTACAAGTACAATCCTCGGAGTCAAATGATAATACAACGCACTTGGGTCCAATTACCTCGGCAATAAATGTGCCACTGATGGAGCCTATATACAACGAGCACGAGCCTTGGAGCCATGCGCTATTACAACCCACTTGGGTCTATTACACTGGCACCAAATGTGCCACTGATGGAGCCACTATCTTAAGACCACAAGCGTTGGAGCCCTGTGCTATTACAATTCACTTGGGTCCTATTACATTGGCACCAAATGTGCCACTGAGGGAGCCTATTTACAACGACTACGAGACTTGGAGCGGTGCGCTATTACAACCTACATGGGTCCTATTATTACGTTGACACCAAATGTGCCACTGATGGAGCCTATATACAACGAGCGCCAGCCTTCTAACCGTGTGCTATGACAACCCGACTGGGTCCTATTACTTTGGTACCACTTGCCACCGATGGAACCTATACACTACGAGCGCGAGCTTTCTAGCCGTGTGCTATTTCAACCCAACTGCGTCCTATTACACTGGCAGCCAGGGTGCCGCTAGTCCAGTTCACTGTTAAAAATGCTTTAATCCCAATGCAGCTCAGAAACCACAATAACAACGGTGCCTTGTATTTAACAGAAAGCAGCGAGAAAATGTTAGGCGTTGTTCAGTATATTCGTGCCTTGGACACGGATGTCTCCTGCAGGGTATCACAACACAAAGTCGTATTCATCGCCTGAAATATAATAGTAGTGTGAACGTATAGCCTACTGTCGGGTAATTGAATGAGTTTTTATCTGAACAATCGTTTTCCTTCTCAGCGTTTTCTTTACTCGGCTAGCATCCCTGTCGACGCTACAATAAAGTGAAATGGGCGTTTAAATTGTATAGAATGATTTACTTTGGCACCCCATTCTGCATAATACCTCTGGTTGAGGGGAATCCGACGGCTCAAATTCGACAACCTATCGATGAAAGGTAAGGAAAATGATCACCAGTACCAGGTGAAATCCATATTGGAGTTAAGGGACTTGCCTTACCCTCATCGACTACAGCGGATGCACCTGTTCTCCCTGGAATATCGCCGACGTAGAGGTGATCTGATTTTTACTAGGCGAATTCTGATGGGGAAATGGGGACGGAGCTACAAGCGTTCTTTCAAGCCAACACTAATAGTTCCACTCGGGGGCACAACTGGAAACTATATAAAACCAGAAGACTCAGAGTTCGCTCCACTCTCGCTCTATCAACCAGCATTGTCAATGACTGGAACGGCTTGCCAAAACATGTGGTCGACGCGCAGTCGGAGGAATGTTTCAAGCGATTTTTGGATTCTCACTTGATGAGTAAGCTGCGACCCTGCTTCTTCCAATGTAGCTGTTACGGCCCCTTGTGGAATACCGTCTCGTAGCGACTCACGGCATCCACGCAATGATCGGGAAGTGAAGGAGCTGACAAAGGACTTTCCTTCTGCTCTCTACAATCCAATGATCCAATGAAAAAAGTGCACGTGCAATATGAGGGGTTACGGTTTGTTTACTTGTACTCGGATCGGCAGTAATCTCATCACTGGAGGAACTCATCGTCTGTGAGACGGCGATTGGTGGGGTGTCGCTCAAAAAGAAAGCGGTTAACTGGGTAATTGTGAGACAGATCGAAGGTTAGGACTTCCAACTTTCTTCCCGTTCTAATAAGATTAACGCGAGCTTTGCAGTTAGTATCACGTTAGCTAAAAGATTTATAATAATAGAAACAAAATCCTACTAAACACGTCTCCTTCCTGTAGTTGTTGACTTGCGACGTGCGCAGCGGACACATCGATAAATGATCCTGTCGTACTTTACCCGTGACACGTTACACTTTCTGCCGCTGTAGGATACAAAATTGACGTACTAAAGATGCATAAAGTCCGAAAACAAAGAATTAAACTCATCAAAATTGTCAAAAGAAGGCCCAAGGAAGCTTCTCGGGAAACCAGACACCATGGTGTGTGCATTAAAAAATACTGTTCGTGACGCGTATCTGGTTTCCGACACATTCAAACAATTGCAATATCACAGTTGCACAGATTCAAATAATACAGCAAAGGCAAAACGTTATCCGGGAATAATGCCATAAAATGACCATAAAATGGCTTCTGACACATTTAAACAAATGCAATATCATATTTGCACAGAATTGATTAAAACTGCAAAGCCACTAAGATAGTCGAGAATCATGCCATAAAATGACAGGAAGCTATTTATTGCGCACTAGGTTTTGCGGGGTAACGGAGCTGTGACGTAGTCGCAGCCCCGAAAACCCACTAACCGGAGACGGGAAGGTTGAATCGGTATGACGCGCGAAATTAAGTTTCTAGCCGAGTAACTAACGTACATCAATCTTTAAAAGATGGAAAGGTAAACAACGGTTACAGCGTAATGTGAACAAGGTATGAAAAAGGAATGCTTAAT